AATGCTATTGAATTTTATTTTAAATCTCGATTCTGAATCCATTACGCGAAATATTGAATTAATTCAATGTCAATGGATACACACATTGAAAAATTTTAGTTTATACAATTATCCTCAATTTTCGAATATGCTAATGAGCTAAGCAATATTTCGTTTCAAATCTCAAATTTCAATTTTACAGTTTATTGCACGAAATATGAAACATTAATTCAATTTAAAATTTCTGTCGATAATTTCCATCGAATATTTTATTATATATTATATTGTATTGTATACTATAAATTTATATTATATAATATTAATATTATATTATAAATTTATATTGTATATTTTGATATTTTTATATTATATAATTTTATATTATATATTTTAATATTTTTATATTATATAATATTTTGTGTTATATAATTTTATATTATACTATAAATTTATAGTATTAATATTATATTACAAATTTATATAGTATTAATATTATATTATATATTTTATATCATATTATATTATATAATATTATATTTGTTTATATAATTATTCCGAATTTTATATAATAAAATATTTTGTACCAAAGCTTAAATTTCAATTTAATTATAGTCTGTTATACAAAATATTGAACGTCAATTCAATTTATATTTTTAAAATTTAACAATTTGAAATTTGTGTGTACATTCCAAATTATTAATATAAATAATATATAACATTTCTAATTTATTATATATATATAATATATATAATATTTCTAATTTTCTTAAGCATCAAATAACCGAACGAATTAGATACTATTATACCTCGTTTCAAACTACGTATTTATAAATGTATACAAGCTACGAAATATTAATTTAACGCACATAATCGAATATCATCAAGCATCATCATTTAATTTTCACGTACCCATATTGTTGTCATTAGTTTACCAAAATACGTATCGAATATACGCGAAAACAGGACTATTAAATCGATGTCACATTAAAACGTCAAATATCGGTCGAATATTAATCAGGACAGACCACACGTGTCATCGTGATATTTAATTTCTATCCGCAGCCGAGGGAAATACCTCGTATTTGATTTCTATTTACGTTAACTCTCGTTCGACTTCCATTTTTTTTTTTTTTTTTTTTTTATTTT